CCTCTCCCCTTAATTAAAGCAAAAATAACCCAAAATGTTTAAAATCGCTGCTCGGAGGCGCAGGGGAAACACACTAAGGGAGCAGATGGGAGGAATAAGCCACTGTGACTCCATACGTAAAATGGCCACGGAGGCAGTGAAAAATGAAACTAAAAAACAACTGTTTTCTATTTACAAATTTAAATAAACAGAACAGCCTTCCCCGCGGTGTTTGTCTAAGTGCAGCAGCATTGCTGCTGTGTAGGTCATGAAAAGGTTGGTGCATAGTTTAAAACTTCCCATTCTGTTAATTTCTTAAAGAACAGTCGTTCATAGTCTGAGCACAAAAGCTCATGATTTAATGAGGAACAGAAACAAAATCTCTGATTGTTGGTGTTTCAAACTTCATTGGAGTCCTCTGGCAACCACAAGTTGATCCTCTGCAGCTTCAATACCCTTTAGCCCTCCATATAAGAGTACATGCTGAATAGAGGACAATGCCTGGTTGTTATGTTTATTTACCCTTACTACAAGCTGGGTTAACCTCTTCAAAACAGCTTTACTAAGCCCGTTAACCACACGGCCCACATGACCTGTAGCCGTATCCCTAATGTGATGTAAATCTGACTCGAGACCATATGCACAAGTTCTGCTGCATTGTGTCTCCGAAAACTACAAGTTTATTGCCGTCCAACCCTTCCAGGGCTGGACGCTTCCAGGAGGAAACGCTCTGAATAGCGACCGCTTAAAAAAAAAGAAAAAGAAAGTCAAGAGTCCCGTGTTGTCAGAGCAATAATTTTAATGGGTGTTGCCCGTTTTTGGGGGGGGGGGGGAAGAATGCGAAGCCCGTACGAGGTGATGATTTTCATCGCAATTATTTCAACCGGTGCATAATTATTCGAGGCTTTGCCCGTTCTGACAGGAGTTCTGCACCGGAGCGGGAAGAAGCATAGATACAAATAGAAGCGATTGACTCGGTTTTCATCTGCTCTTTTAAGAGAGCTCACAGCTTATGTTTTGCCTTTTTCCTTCAGTGAAGTCATAATCCCACATTTGTAGTAATTATCGTGATGTCACGCTGTCGGTGATGTAACTTCGTTGCAGGCTATGAGTAGTGCATGGGCCGTGCAGGAGGGAGCAGTGGTTTGAGTCGGGAATAGTTTTAGTAATTAGCAATTCTGGCAAGCAAACTATGAGAGATGGAGAAAATGGAAATGAATTTCTACTTAAGCTTGACATCTTTAATTTCCCCCCCCCCAAGTATTATAGTCATCTTTTAAAACAGCTACTGGGGCCCCATGGCGAGAGCTTCATTTACCAGCTCATTTTTTCTTGATGGCTGTGGCAAGCGTAACAATGTTCTGTGCCTGCTTCAGTAATGGCATGTCGATCATGCTCCCGTGGAAAGTAAACGCTCCCTGGAAAAGAGAGAATATAAACTTCCTGAGAGGACCTCTGGAAATCGTAGTTGGCTTGTCTTTTTCTTTAAAAAGACATCCAATTGCCAAGAAACATCAGCTGCCCCAGGAATCCTGAAGCAGTTGTAGGAGACAAAACTAACCGAGACAGGGCAAATGCATTTAAAGAAATGCGGTGGGCGCTGAGGGCTCCAAAGAGGAGGCAAAAAAGAGAGAGAAGAGAGAAGCCCAGCGTGCAGCCTGCCCGTTTCAGCCTCTCTAGCTGGCAAACGTCGAGGGCCGAGAGCAGCGAGGCCGTGCATGCCGGACACCATGCCGGGGGGGCAGCTCTGCTCCCCGTGTCCGGCATCACCCTCCGGTGCCGGGGCTGTGCCGCAGGGCCAGGACGAAAATGTCTGCGGATGGAGGGCACAGCCAGAAGCGTTATCTTTGTCAGGAAACAGCAATAGGCATTTTGGGGGGGGGTGGGTGTTCAGGGAAGTTTTCCTGACTTGGGGGTGTGTTGAGGTTGAGCTGCTGCACCTCTCCATCAGGTCTCTGGTTCTAAAGATGGGCTGGGCCTCTGCTTAGAGCCAGGGGCTGGGATGAAAGCTGAAAAAACAAGCGGCTGGTGCGATAATATTGCCTAAATCTGCTCTGGAGCCAAGGCGAAGCCCACCTGAGCTCTGCGTATGGGGAATTTCCCCAAGAGGATGCTGAACTAGCTGGTGTGCCTCAGCGGTGGCCATCTGAGAGCCAGGGCAGGTTTCAAAAGTCACTCTGTATTTCCAGGGATTTCATCCTGGTACCATGGTGACAAGTTTAAAATAACTAACTATGAATCGTAGTTAACTCTTCAACAGAAGACACGTGTTTTATATAGGGCCAAACCTGACTTATTCCTTTGGGCGCTTTAATCCACGTATGTGTTGCTGAGGTAGGATTTTGAAGACAAAACACTGTGCATCAAGACACGCCAAAGCTCAGTAGACAAAAAAAAAAAAATATCTGATTTGTAATTCTGACAGTACTTCAACACACTCTTGAAAAAACCAAATACAAAGACGCAATCCCTTCCCTGAAGAATTCAGAATTGCAGGCCCAGCCCCAGCGTTGCATAGGGCGTCCCTGTGAAGCACTGTGCACCCTTTTAATGTCCTGCTGCAATCGATTGGGGATCACAGGCTGGCCTTTGATTTGACAGTGAGTGAGGCTAACCAAGAACAGGGTAAGAACGATAGCGGCATGTGTGTCTGTGCATGCCTAGCGAGAGAAATGCAGAGGAGAACAAGCCGTTTATTGTTTTCTGGTTTTCATGTAAGGCTTGATGATCATTAAATAAGAGGACTTCAGTAAGTAAAGTGAAAATATAACCCATTTACAAAAATGTTTAGGAAATGCGTTGCGCCAGTGACAGATCTAGTTTGACTGAAGCAGTGCTAATTAAATACTAAATCACATTCTAGAACAGTTAAGACAAAATTCCACCTTAAACAGTCATCTAATACAAATCAATATTGTTGTGTGGAAGAACAGGCTGTATTAAAGCCATTAAACACCTAATAGTTAAAACTATTATTTTATTCAAGGTAGGATTTCCTACTATAGCTCGCAGTATTTTAGGTGGGTTTGGTGAATAATGGGACTGACAGATAGTCAAGGGCAGATGCTTCAGATTGAGTTTCTTGTTTACAGAGCAATCAATCAACCCTACGTTACCCCAACAACATCAACATTATTATTATTACTGTTATTATTATTAATAATAATACACAATTTTTTGCCTTGGCTACAACTTGGCCGTTTTCACTTATACTTTTAAACCTTTACAGAAAATGCAGCCTCAAACTGTTCCATTTATTAACTGTTGTGAAAATAAATTGGGAACTAAGTAAACATCTTATGACATAGGGCTTCTTCAGGATAATTCAGGTCTACGCCGTGATCTCAAACTGCAAGATACATTTTTTTCACTGTAAGAAAAACACTTTTTCATTGTGTCTGTTTTTCTATAGGCATTCAGTCAAATAATAGCTATTGCTTAAAAGAGGAATCTGCATGTGGGATGAGAGTGATAAGTAGAGATATGTTAAGGTCTGGAATCATCCTTCCTAGTTCTGTGAAATGGCTGACTTAGGAGCACAGTTATCCTAAGTAAGTACCTGCAATAGTTTGCAGAAAGAGATGGGCATCTAGGAATGACAATTCTGATCTCCGGTGATCCGAATTGTGATCGGGAGGGTCTTATCCCTTCCACTGACTGTACACGGGATGCTCCGAAGCCAGGTACCTCTGCAGGTGCCTAAGTTGGAGCATGATGAATCTGGGCCAGGATGTCTTTTTTAGAAAGCAGGAGTTAATTAAACAGCATGCCTAGCCTCTCTTCATTACAATAACATGTTTAGAAAGGAAACCAGGATAACAGTGTGTGTGTGGACATACGAACGCTGAACCGCTTGAGATCGGCCGTACGTTCTCTTCTTGTCAGTGTGCAGCTGTAGTTTGGGTTGCTAAGAATTTGAATTCTTGAAGGAAAAAAAATGCTTTTTTTTTCTAACAGCAAAGAAGTTGGCTTCTCTGCCTGTTCACTCTGAGGCTTATTTTCTCCCTGCTAATTTGCAGTGTTGAGGTAAAGTCCAGAAAAAGAAATGGATTTTAATGCCATGGAATATACTCTATTCACTGCCTCTCTTTCCACCCACAGGTTTCAACAGATAGGAAATACCAGTAATTATAGCTTTGTCCCCATGCTCTCTTTTCCAATTCTGCTAGATGAAATTTGCCTTTAGCATTCTTTTGATTTTCTCTCGCATGAACATAAAGAAAACAAGACTTTCCAGAAACACCATTTGCTTTGATAGCATTCATCTGGGGATTAATTTAGTCATAGATCTAAATTTTCTTGTTGGCTAATTTTCTCAACGATCTCACGCTTCCAGCCTGTACTTAGACTTCCAGTAGTTCAACAGTGGCACCAAAGGTCTGTTCTTAAGGAAGCCTGCAGCGTGAACGGGAGCGACGGCGGCCGCGTGGTGTGAGGCTGGGGGTTGCATCCGTCGCGTTCGGTGGCTGTGGTTCTCGCTCGCCAGGTAACCATATAAATCATTCAGCGGGAGCCTTTTCAGAAACCTGTAAAAGGACCCCAAACGTGTCAGACCTGCCCTGGGAAGAGCCAGGCCCTCCAGGTAAAGGCTGACGGAGGAGCAGCCGGGAGGCAGAGCCGCAGCCGGCGGGTGATGATGCACGGGTGCAAGTAATGAGAAGCCCAGGGGGGGATGGAGGACGACTGCGGTGCTCACCGGGCAGCAGGCTGGACGTGCAGCCCTTCCGAGGAACGGGTGGCTCTGTGGGCCAAAGGCATTGCCCCCGCTTTAAGCGATGCAGCACGTAATTCTGCTGTCCTTAGCCAGCGCCGTCCTTCTTGCGGCAACACCGTGGACGTGCTGAGGGAGAAGCCTGGTGAGGAAGAGGGTGATGTTGGCACTCCCCATGCGGGAAGGTATGGGAGCTGCGGAGGAGGCACAACACAGCGGGGGGGGGGATGTTGCATTTGCACAACCTTTGGCTTCCCTCAGCCTGCTCACTGTACACCTCGGCCAGGGCAGACTATCAGCAATGAAGAAAGTGAACAGGCGGCATTTTGCTTTGGGTCATCATGCAGACTGGCTAAGGGTCCTTCCCAGTTGACTGACAAGCAAGGAAAGACCCAAAGGTGTTTCCTTCTGGATAGCTCTGGGAGAGCAGAGCAACAAGGCGGTGGCAGACCCATCTAGCTCCAATTCTCTCCGCCTGGTTCTTGCAGCTGCCCACGGAGCCCACCACGTCGTCATTTCCCCATCTCTGTCTCTTGTATCAGACCACCTTCTCCAGGCTGAACGACGCAGGACCAGTACTGTGCAATTTGCTGCATCCCCCAGGAACCATGTAGTATTTGAATGCGATAAATTCACAATGACATTTAAGGTTCTGTTAAAACAGTAGTAACATTTTTAAAAACGTTAACAGCTATTTATGCAAGATGCAGGCCATGCTGAGTGAGGTCTTAACAGCTCTACTTTGAATTTCAATATGTCCTAAAGTGCTTCGGGAATGGAACAGAGAAGGCTTTTGGCAAATACAGAAAACAGCTGGAAGGGAATCAAAATTATAGAAAGCTGGTAGGGTGGTTTTTTTTTTTTTTTTTTCAGAAGGGAACAGCAAAAAATGATAGTCTTGGAAAAAAAGAGAATTGAGCGTGGTCAGCCCCAAGGGATACAAAGATCCAGCCTACAGACAGGCAAAGCGATAAGGCAGAGTTGAGCGAGAACAGTCATTTTCACAGGTCAGGAGCTGAAGATACAGGCTCATGAAAAAGGGGGGCAAATCAAGTTGTGCAGTAGGAATAATTAATGCAGTGAATTTCCAGGTGGCCGTGGGGAGACCGAAGAGATGCAGAACCAAACTTTGCAACCCACCAGTTTGGCAGAGTTTACGCTTGTACCTTAGGAACCGCTTTCTGGATAAATGCAGCCACTACCAAAACCAACCCAGATCTAGCCAAGTTCAGCATGTAATTGAGGGCTCATCTTTGACAACGTAGAAGACAACCCTGGCCATGTGTTGCCATGGATGTTGGACATGGCTCTTGTCATATCTATATGTCATCCTAAAAGACTTCCTTTACCTATAAGGAATGACATGTATCAAGTTGCAGAGAGTCTCAGCATTGGTCTGTTTTTTGCCATGGCCAAAAGACGAACACATTAATGCAGTGTTTCCTGGAACATGAAGGCCTCCTCTTTTTGTGTGTCTATGCATACCAGTATCCAGGAACATTTGCTCTGTGAAACTTTTGGGAGTAGTTAGGAGCTTGGTAAATCTATATGACCATCTCATAAACAGAATATATTTTTTTTATGGCAAGAAGCATTTTACCTTTCTAGAAGGTAAACGGATGGGATTCAGAGTCCCTGATTTCTGTGTCGTCTGGGGATCAATATGTTCTGGCGGAACCAGGAAAGGGGAAGAAATGATACAGCCAG